GAGGGCCCCGCCTCCGAGGTGGGGTCTCGGCCGTCAGCTACCGGAGAGGGAGGAGGGGGAGGAGGTTAAAGGGGAAGGACCCCCGGAAGTGCCCCCTCCTCAGCGCCGGTGAGGCCGACGCCGGGGGAGGAGTCCCCTGCTTCCCCCGGCGTGGTTGGTGCGTCCCGGGTGACGTCAGAAGCAACCCGCCCCTGCCTGGATGGTGCACCCAGAGTGACGTCAGGAGCAGAGGCCGGAGCTGTCCATCAGCACCAAAGGCCGCCGGCGGGCTCAGGGCATGGGGCCGCGGCTCCAGGGCAGCCCGAGCTCCTGCTCTTGCTCCAGCTCCTCTCCCTTCCCCGGACCGGGTCCGAGTCCCCGGGCCGTGGGGCAGCAGTGCCAGCCGGTGTTAGAGGTGGAGCGGCGACGCCGTTGCACAGAGACCAGTCTCTCCGGCCCAGCAGCCCCCTTCGCACGGCGGACTTTGCCCGGACCCCAGTCAGTAGGAGCCTCTGGCGTCCCACAACCCCGGCTCCTCCGGCCCCTGAACAGCCTTTCTCGCTCGGAAGCCCAGGTCACCTCCAGCCCAGGTAGATCTTGAACAAATCCAAATTGAGCCTCTCACAGATGGTGCTCGGGCTGCCTCTTTTTTTTTTTTTTTTTGCCAGCTGCACCCTACCCTCATCTGGTCCCATCTAGTCCCTCTTTTAAGTCCACCCCAACGGCCTCTAGCCAGGCACTTGTTTCCCTTTGTCTTTCTCCCCGTTCCAGAGCAGCTTCCAGAGCTGCCTGATGTGGGCACCATTCCTTTGTCCACTGTGCCCTTGCTCAATTCCCCCACTCGCACTGTTATCCTGGTGGAGACCCACGACTGACTCTTGACCCCAATTCCCTCCCTGTCAGGCTGACCCCGGAGGGTGACCCTCTTCCATTCCCAGCACTATGCCGGGTACTATGGAAACTCTGCGGTTCCAGCTGCTGCCCCCGGAGCCAGATGATGTCTTCTGGGGTGCACCCTGTGAACAGCCTCTGGAGCGCAGGTATCAGGCACTGCCGGCCCTCGTCTGCATCATGTGCTGTTTGTTTGGAGTCGTCTACTGCTTCTTTGGTGAGATCCCCCTCATTCTTCACCTGTGCCCCTCCACTGTTTCCCTGAGGTTCCTTTTCTGGTGCATCCCAAATCATTTCCAGCACATCTCGCCCCCATGCCTGTATCTTTCTCTTGTTGATCCCAGATATATTTGTAGATAGTTGACTCTAGATTCTACAGAGCACAGGTTTTTAAGTTAGGCTGTTTGAGTTTGATCCTGGCTCTATATGTTAGTCACTGTGATGTAATGGGTATGTTAATCTGAGTCTCAGCTTTCTCACCTGGACAAGGGCAACAATGTTTGTCTCATATAGACATGAATTAGTAGGTACTCAAAGAATAGTAGCTATTGTCATGAAGATGTGTTTGGATCACCGGGCTAAGCAGACAGTTAGCATGGTGATTAAACATGGTCCCTTACAACAGGACATATTGTATGGTGGAGGCGAGACCTGGAATATTCACACTTGTGATACATATTAGTGTGGGCTGGATGGTAGTCACAAACATGGAGATCGCCTACAAGGCAGATTCCCATAAGGATGGTTATTGTGAAGAGTTGTATGGGGGAGGGCGTGGTATGTCTGTAATCCCAGCATTCAGGAAGCTGGAGCAGGGGTACGGAAGCTGAAAGCCAGTATGGATTACATGGTGAGATGGTGTGTGTGTGTGTGTGTGTGTGTGTGTGTGTGTGTGTGTGTGTGTGTGTGTTGATGATCTTGATGCTTCGGAGGCAGGGGAGAGAGCAAAGTGTAACTGCTGGAGTTCAGTTGAACAGGTGAGTGTGGGCCCAGTTGACAGCTCTCAAGGTCTTGGCCTAAGGTCTTAGCTACCATCCTTAGAGAAAAGTATACCTTATTCTCACTTCTACAAAGCTGTCAATCACATAGACTAGTGGCAGTTTACAGTAAAAATGCCCAGTGGATCCTTCAGAAAGTTATAGAACTTCACAGTGGAGACTGACTTCTAAGGGTAGCGACCCAAAGAAAGCCTCCAAGAGGATTGTGAGCATCAGAATCAGTTTGGGCAAAAAGGCTGGCAGGTTTGCCCCAGTGTGGCAGACTCTGTACTCCCTGTGAGAATAATTGAGAATATGGGGTTTGTGTCAGGTGGTCTTTCTTTTACATTTTTGCAGAGTGGCAGGAGAAATGCCCCCCCACACACAAGGGTTCAGGACATGTAATGGACCTTCAAACCTCTCCATGCCCTCTGCTCTGTGCACTGACTCCCTCTGCATGGTGCTCTGGATAGCTTCATTCCTTATCCTTGGCTCCTGTGTCATCCTACCCATCCTGGATGCTCCTACCCTGGGATTCAGAGCCTTGTTATAAACCCTGCTCCTCTCTGACTCCAGAGCCTTCTGGGATCTGACAGCTCCATTCTTGGGACCAAATCTCCCCTTTTCTCTTCATTATTTTTCTCTTTTGCTTTCCCTGCCCCTCCCAACTCTGACTTCCACCTTCCCAGCTGTTCAGGATCTACACCCCTTCCTCTTTCAAGTACTGCTAATGGGTGTAAAGTCCCTATCAGCCCCTCTTCTGAAACTCCACAACTTCTCCACATAGTCCTTAGGATTCCTAACAACTCTGTATGGGTCCTAGCTCCCTCCCATCGGTTCTCTTTGATCCCTGTAACTGTTGCCTCAGGAGACTGTTGCCTCACACATACTGATGCCATTTCTCTGGCTTCAGTGTTCCCCTTTGTCTTTAATAATCTTAATGATTCTACTTTTGCCCATCCATCTCCAAAGACCTCATCTCCCCAAACCCAGCTCTGCTATCTCGCTAACCTTCCAGCAGTGCTTTAACTATGAATGAAGCCCTATGACCATACGAAGATCTCATCTGTCTAAATGTATGTGTCCTCGCTTCTATACATTTTTTTCTGACTTCCAAATACTTCATCTCTAAATAGTCCCTCCTTAGAGGCCCCAGGCACTCCATTGTTGATCCCCTTGCGATTCCAATGAGTGATCTCTCTGAACCCTATGATTCCAGAGATCCTATTGCCCCATTACTGATTTACTTAACCCTAGTGATCCTTAACTCTGACCCTCAAAAACTTCAAAGCATTATTCCAATAATCACGTCTTCCGAATGATTCCCAGCAAACATCCACCACTGAGTCCTTGTGACCTCCAATTCTCTTACTTTAGCACCTATGTCTCTGATTCCCTTGTGCCTCTATGTTCCCAGCCCTCTGACTTCCTGTCTGGAAACCTCACTTTGGACCCCAATGGCCCTCTTCCCCTCCAGGTTACCGCTGCTTCAAGGCAGTCCTCTTCCTCACTGGATTGCTGTTTGGCTCAGTGGTCATCTTTCTGCTGTGCTACCGAGAGCGGGTTCTGGAGACGCAGCTGAGCGCAGGAGCAAGCGCAGGCATCGCACTGGGCATTGGGTTGCTCTGCGGGCTGGTAGCCATGCTGGTGCGCAGCGTGGGCCTCTTCCTAGTGGGGCTGCTGCTTGGTTTGCTGCTCGCTGCTGCCGCCCTACTGGGCTCGGCACCCTACTACCAGCCTGGCTCCGTATGGGGCCCACTGGGGCTGCTGCTCGGAGGCGGCCTGCTCTGTGCCCTGTTCACGCTGCGCTGGCCCCGACCACTCCCCCCCCTTGCCACGGCTGTGACTGGTGCTGCACTCATCGCCACTGCTGCAGACTATTTTGCTGAACTGCTACTGCTGGGGCGCTACGTGGTGGAGCGACTGCGGGCTGCGCCTGTGCCTCCCCTGTGCTGGCGGAGCTGGGCCCTGCTGGCACTCTGGCCCCTACTTAGCCTGATGGGTGTTCTGGTGCAGTGGAGGGTGACAACCGAGAGGGACTCCCACACAGAAGGTGAGAGGACACAGGCTAGGGTGGGCATGGGAAGATGGGATGGACAAAGATGGGTGGGGTGATTGAGGGATTAGTGAGACAGGACAGAAGCTATACACACCAAAATTGGAAGGCCTCAATTAGAAAGTTGACTTGGCCTGAGTCTAGGAGAACAGGGCTAAATAACAATATTGATTCGAAAAGAATGGGTGGGACACTGGCTCTAGGTCAAGCCCATTCCAGGCACTGGGGTGATAGAGCAGAGATGAAACAGAAGGACAGAGGATGCAGCTCAGTGGTAGCATGCTTACCCAGCATGCAAAGGGCTCTAAGTTCCATTCCCAGGATCACAAACAAACAAAGGCTACCAGAGATGGGTTCATGCTCTTATGCGCATACATCCAGGGCAGTTGAGAAACAGATAATAAATATGCAAACAAATAAAGTGAATTCCAGTTGTGCAGAGCAGTATGCAGTGATACAAGGCAACATGAAACTCTAATCTTATGGAGCCAACTGCAGAGTGGCCAAGGAAGGCTGCTTGGAGCAGGTGCAGTTTGTGAGATAGGCTGATGGTGGTGTCGACCCTCCCTCTGGGCTGAACTTTGTTAGGACAGTGAGATGCCCACGGAGGACTTAGATTAGGGGAGGAAAGAACATAGGTTCGTGTTGGGGAATGTAGAACACATTAGAGCAGTGGGTCTCAACCTTCCTAATGCTGCTCAACCTTCCTTTAACACAGTTCCTCATGTTGTGGTGATCCCCCAAACATAAACTGATTTTTGTTGCTACTTCATAACTCTCATTTTGCTACTGTTACAAATTATAATGTAAACACTCGTGTTCTCCAATGGTCTTACACAACTCCTTGTTTCACCAAGGGGGTTGAGACCCACAGGCTGAGAACCACTGCATTAGAGGGAGGCAAGGGGAGAAAGGAAACAGGGTAGAAGCAGCTGTCCAGTTGAATCCAGTTGAAAGATGATGACACCCAAGGCCTTCGGATCGGAACAGCAACAACAGTAGCAGAGGGGGTACTGCACATACAGGCCTTTGCAAGAAAAGAAAAACTATGGGAAGTACAGTCTGGAGCAGTGGGTCTCAACCTTCCTAATGCTGCGATCCTTTAACACAGTTCCTCATGTTGTGGTGATCTCCCAAACATAAACTGATTTTTGTTGCTACTTCATAACTGTCATTTTGCTACTGTTACAAATTATAATGTAAACACTCGTGTTCTCCAATGGTCTTACACAACTCCTTGTTTCACCAAGGGGGTTGAGACCCACAGGCTGAGAACCACTGCATTAGAGGGAGGCAAGGGGGGGAAGGAAACAAGAAGCAGCTGTCCAGTTGACAGATGATGGCAGCTGGCCTGGGACACCCAAGGCCTTCGGATTGGAACAGCAACAACAGTAGCAGAGGGGGTATTGCACATACAGGCCTTTGCAAGAAAAGAAAAACTATGGGAAGTACAGTCTTGGAGGTGGGAAATCAGGAAAGGAAGTAACAGGGAGGAAGTGGGGGGTCATAGGCAAGGGCTGTGGAAGCCTAAGGCCCTTTGAGGAGAAGGCAGAGGGCTCAGGGAAGAGCCAGTGTGAACTCGAGTCTTCTGTGCCCATCCCTCTATAGTGGTCATCAGCCGGCAGCGAAGGCGGGTGCAACTGATGCGGATTCGGCAGCAGGAAGAACGCAAAGAGAAGAGGAGGAAGAAGAGACCCCCTCGGGCTCCTCCCCGAGGTCCTCGGGCACCTCCACGGCCTGGGCCCCCAGACCCTGCCTATAGACGCAAGCCAGTGCCCATCAAACGCTTCAATGGAGATGTCCTCTCCCCGGTGAGGCCCCGGAGCCCCTCCAGCTCTAGGGTGACAGAAATGTGTAGACTGACCATGCAGGACGGAGCCTTAGGGAACACTGGCCTTAAAGGCCTGTGTTTGTCCATCAGAACCTCTGTATCTGGGTCCTGATGGATCCAGCTTTATAGGTGACCAAGTTCAAGTTCTGATATTAAATGGATATGGTATATGGTGCATTTTAGGGCTGTGGACTCAAGTGTGGAGATGCCTTGGGCTTGTGCAGGCCAGGAGAGTGTCAGGCCTGGGTGGTAGAGGCAGAGGTGGTTGTGCAGCAGGACTTACAGCTGTGCTTATTTCCCTGACAGAGTTACATCCAGAGCTTCCGGGACCGGCAGACTGGGAGCTCTCTGAGCTCCTTCATGGCCTCACCCACGGACACGGACTATGAGTATGGGTCCCGGGGGCCACTGACAGCCTGCTCGGGACCCCCTGTGCGGGTGTAGTCATGTTCCCACTGTCTAGACTCTGCAGTCACCAGCTCTGCCAGCTCAGAGAGTCCTGCTAGGCCACTACCAAGGCCGCAAGGCCCTGTGGTCTCTGGCTGTCTCTCTCCCCTCCTTGGAGAGGGTTGGCCAGCCACCAGAAGGGAGGCTGTGTCTCAGGCTAGGTAGGCCTGGCCTGAAGGAGAAGCTCCGGTCCAAGCTCCCGAGGGACTTGGGATGTGAGCCCCACTGGGATGTGCTCAGGGTTGCGTGTTGCCCATATATGCGTGTGTGAAGGGGTAGGCTTTGAGGGGACACTGGGACTCTTGCCTTAGATTTCTGATGGGCAGGGCTTCTTCAGGGCCAGCCTGCCTCCTGTCCCACTGCTGGGGTCCCATGGGCCACTCTCCTGCATGTCTGTATGGAGGAGGCCTGCCTGCTTCCCCTATTGCTCTGACTTGCAGCCATCTAAGGGTTCCTGTCATTGTCCATGGAGCTAATGGCAGCACCCGTTGCAGACCCCTTCACTCTGGTCCCCTGGCCTCTGCAAAGCCACCAGCCTGAAGGGCAGTGACAGGGGATGGAGTGGGGAGTGTTGTTCTGGGTTGGGTTTGGGAGGAGGGGGGAGGGAGAAGGGCTTAAATGCACGGTGCATGTCTGGAGTCTGCCATGCCACCCTGGACACCTCGTGCTTCTATCCCCTCCCACCCTATTTAACATCTTTTATAAATGTGCCAAACTATTTGGCCTCTGCCAGATGTCTTCAGTAACCGACCGGTACTTCCATCAACCAAGTTGGTAGCACTGCAACCTCAGAGCTATGTCACTGACTACAGGGGCTCCAAGCACGGCCTGCCCTCCCTGGTGTACAGACAGGCGTGGGCATGAATGGTAGCTTTTTTTTTTTATTATTGTTTCCTGATTCTCTCTGGCTCCTTCCTTTCCATCATGCCCAGTATAAGGGTACATCTCCTTCCAAACTGTCCGAGGGTACCCGCTTGGTCTGGGTCAGTCCTCTAATCACCTGTAGAGGGGTGGCTGCATGTAGACTGGTGGCAGGGAGACTAGGGTAAAACCCATTTCTTCCCCCTGGCAGAGCCTAGATACCCACGAGGGAAAGAGCAGGGTCCTACCCTCTCAGAGCCTCTGTCAGGGTGTCTATGGGGCCAAAGAAGTGGGGGCAGGAAGGGTGGAGCACACAGAAAAATGTGAAAGATATGCAAAGATTTGGGGTAGAGTGGGCACCTCCTATGTGAAAGAGGAAAGAAAGGAAGTTGCTGCCCAGGCTGCTGTTGAACCCACTTAAGAGAGCAGAAGCCTGCAGGACAACGGGCAGGAGGGGGTGGAGGTCAGGTACCAGCCGGTACTGGTGGGTAGTGAGGCACATTGCTACAGATACTGGTAGCAATGGGGTCTTCTGGGGAGACAAGCATGAACCAGAAGCAGAGGAAGTAAGAAGCCCTAGCAGGAAGGGTCCTAGGAAGGTCAGAGAAAGTTCTCTTGAGACTCGGGGCTCCCTCTCTTCTTCAGCCTTGGGTGTAATCTCTCCGGTCCCTCCCCCGTTCCCCACATGCACCAGAACCTACTGCCAAGGGTCTTTCCCCCATAGGGTGGCACCCCTGCCTGGTTAGCCTCCTGTTCGGGTGACTCTGCCCAGTGGGCTTTACTCACCCTCTACTAGCAGCTGTGTGTCGGCACTGTCCTGGCCCGCCTGGCAGCTGTAGGTGCCCTGGTCCTCAGGTCGGACATCATGGATGACCAGGCTGTGGGTGGGGCCGTGGCTGCGCATCTCATACTTGCTTCACAAACACAATTCGACCCCCTCCCGCAACCAACACACGTGGCCTCCAGGGCGGGACACAGTCACCTCCAACACCGCCCTGCGGCCAGCCAGAACCGTCTTCTCGCGAGGTGGGCGGCGGCACATCTGGAGAGGCAACGCTGCGGTTGGGGGGACAGGAGCTTAATAAGGACACGCACGGCCCCTAGGGGACAGGTGCATCTTCTCTGCCTACGACCTCCATCCACTCCTGGCACAAGCCCTCCGTGCCATAGTCGGTTTCCCTGCATGCATGGCTCAAAGTCTCTTCCTCTCCATCTCCTCTTGAGGAAATGAGCTGCCCTCTGTGACCTGCCCCAAGAGAGCCCCCTCGAAGAGGAGAGATGAAGGAAGCAGCATCTCTAGGACCAGCGGCCAGTCAGTCAGTCCCAGGACCGGTGATGATGCCCTTCCCTGTCGCCTTCGCCTCAGAAGCTTACCCTCCACCTCCAGTCGAGCCAAAGACTGGGCGGGTCCCGCCTGGAAGCAGACTTCACCGGTGTCCTCGGCTCGCAGCTCGCTCAGCACCAGAATGTGTTTCTTCCCTGGGGGGGGGAGGGGAAGGTAGCGAGGCCTCAGCCGCTTCCCGGGAGGATTCGAGAACGACCCGAGCAGGTCCCAGGGGGGCTCCGAAGAGTCGGTGCGCGCAATTGCAGATAGGAAGCGAAAAGGAGCTAGATTGGACACGGCGGAGGAAAGTCCGGGAGACCCTGGCAGTGGGGCCGTGGGGCGGAGCTGCTCGGGCTAGAGGCGGGGCTAATCCTAAAGGGGCGGAGTCTGCCTGCACCCTGGGCAAGGTAACAAGGGGTCACAGAGGGTAGGAAAGCGACCAGACCTTCCTGTCGGATGCGGACGCGGCCTCCGGGTCTCAGGACGCGGCCTCCGAGCTCCCAGCGTCCGGTGGTCTCGGTCTCTGACACAGTGCACTCGAACGTGGCGCTATCTC